AACACCATAGACCTGTTTACGTTAATGGTCGGCTGTCTGTTCATTTCACGCCTCTTATGAATTCGAGATCATTACTCTTCCCTTAGAGGTTTTGTGGCGGGACCTTACTAACCGACTTGTCGACTGGCTTCTTGACATTCGCATTTCGAACAACAACCAGACAAGATGTCGCTCACTTAACGCGCTCTCTGTCTAAGCGGAAACTAAGCCGAGATGCATAAACATCTGCCAGCTTCTTAAATCGACCGACGACTTCCCACACCGTTTCTTTCGATGGGGTAAAGTGCTTTCGGAGATGCTTTTATTTTACTTAGGGATGACAAAGCGAGCAGAAAAAAGGCAAGTTATCGTAGAAGTAATGTTTACACTGGCACTTAACTTAACAGCATGAGTTAGACGCCACCAGATTTCCAGTCAATCCGTTTAAGATAAAATTTTACTGATTTTTCCAGAGGTTGGCTTAGGAGGATGAACACAGTTTCTGAGGATCTTCTGATGCCAGGTGCGACAAAGGGATAAGCAAATTAGTAGCAAAAGGTGAAAATAGGATTTTGCAGACGGCACAATGCGCCTGAAGCAATGACAGCCCATGGAAAGTAATAAAAATTTTACAAAAAGTCGGTCTACAAAAATATCTTTCTGTCTAAATTTCTTCATGGAGCCGAATCTTGGGTCATATACAATCCTTTTCTATGCTATTTCGAACACTTCTACTAGCGTTGCCTCCGCATTAGTCTTAGTGGTAAGTCGATACGTTTGCCTGTCTTATAAATTGCAAGTGAAATCAGGCTGGATATAATAGTGATAAACGGTTTTATTATTGTGACGGCATGTATGACTATTGAGGCCAGATCTGGAAAGCCATATGCATCAACATTCTGTGTGTGTGTGTGTGTGTGTGTGTGTGTGTGTGTGTGTGTGTGTGTGTGTGTGTGTGTGTGTAGGTTGTGAAATAAAATGTGAAACATTAGTGAAAATGATGGGATAAATTTGAGAAGCTTATAAACGGTCTGGTTTGACGACTTCTTTTGGTTTTGGCTTCTTCAGACAAACCTTTCTGTAAAGAAAACGCGTCGTGATTGTTGAGAATAAGAGGAGAAATAAACTAGAAAGTGTTTGGTTGTGTCTTCTATATATATATATATATATATATAGAGAGAGAGAGAGAGAGAGAGAGAGAGACTTTTCATTTCAGTGGGCTGATCTAATATAACTGATTCAGTTTAACGCTACACGATATGCTGCAAAAACTAATCTGCACTAAGCCGCCCATACGGCTAAGCGCTGAAGCGATCACCTTTCAAACGGATTCCTTTTTGATGACCTCGTCTCCTTAGGACGTGGCCGATCATGGCTCTCCACAACTCCTATCACTTGTGGCCCTTACAAGTGTTTCTCGCTTTGCCAAACATAACGCCGTCACCGTTCAACGATTCATTCAGCCAAGGTCATCAAGTAGGTGACCAGCTCGATTATCTGTCCGATCACTTTTGCCTCAATGTTCTCTGTGCGTGCTAAGTTTTCCAAGCCCTTCTTCCTCATTATGTCTCGAATAAATTTCAACTGTGTCTTCCTGATTCTGAGTATATATTTAATTTTCGGAAGTAGACTCTTCTTGTTCCATGACATAGACATGAGCCGTGAAACGAGAAATGTCTACTGCCGTAGATAAAATAACGGGTTCAGTTAAGAATTCCCTGTAGGTTACCCAAATCGATATAGACCTGAGGAAGGCCAGCGGCCACAATAACCGAAACGTTGCGGTAACAACAACATAGATAAAGACAATAGTCCAAATATAAATAGTCTAAATATTTATTTTAGTACTAATTGTAATTCTGACTGCCCCGACTTGATATCCAGAATTTTGAGAAGTGTTATTAACATTACAAGACTTCTGACTAATTTATTTTAAATCATTGCTCCCTTTGCAGATCCATTCTACGGCCTTCTTCGGAGGTCATTCTTTTGAGATCAACCATAAGTTATAAGTCATTATCTTGAAATTAGGCATTAATCATTATACTGAGATCAGTCATAAGTTATTATTTTGAGACAGGTCATAAGAGTTCTTCAGTCTGTTTTACACTTTCTCTCTCTTACGTTTTTAGCATTACGATATTTTGATTGATCTATTCTACAACCTTCTTCGGGTGTAAACACTGTAAAGGAATCAAAATGTTTTATACTGATTGATCTGAACGAATGTCTTCCCTTTAAGCGTTATAGTATATTATAGTCTTCAGAATTTAAAAATCTAATCCTTTAGAGGAGATAATTCGTACAGGTTAATTCTTGAATTATCTTCAAATTTATTTGTGCATGTAATTCTGGAAGTCTCTTTCCAGTTAATCCGAATATGTGGATCTCATGGCAGGATCTACGGGTTGAATTACTGAACATGCTAAACTTCATAACAATACTTATATAATTAGTTGCTGATGCATTTTGCAGCCTTAAAGCTAATAACTTTTCTTTAATAAAGATCATATATGGTGCTCATTTCTATGCTAGGCCTACTGAGGAGGTTATCAGAAGTTAGTATATTTATTTTAGTGTATTGTACATTCAAATTTTAGGGACAAAATGGCGAACATAAAATACTTGCCAACTGACAAACCGGTTTAGTTCATTCGCTTAAGGTGATCTACACAGATACTGTGCAATGCAGGTGTGTCTAGGTTATATGTTGAATTATTGAAGACTTCTTCCTCTTTTGGACAAAGAAATTCACACCTGCAGTTTTGGTAAAGATATCAGCAACATGAGTTCAAATCTTCGAACTTTGTTGATTTAGTTGATATTTATGATGCTTTCTTGCATTTGATGGGGGGGGGTAAACAGTTTTTAGCTGTACTAAAGCCAAAATAAAGCCTGAAAAAAACGAACATTCTGAAACTAAATATCAACAGAGACGGCTTGTATAATACCTCTTAAGCGGCCAACTTTTCAAAGAACTCTCATCAAAGAGGATCGTTGATATATTTCAAAATGTTATCTCCTAAACAGAGCTATAATTAAAAAAACGTGCACAATTGTTTGCAAGAAGACATTGAGTAGAGAAACATACCTTAGTCGGAGTAATTTAAGTTAGCCTACTGTCTATCACTTGCGACTTCATTTTTTTCCGTGAGACGACAGATAAGGTTGTCTTTTAAAACGTTTTACCTCGTTTTATTGGCAATTCTCTTCTAATGCATAATTTAAAATTTATCAACGATCTTCTTTGAGGAGAGATGATCAAAACGCTGACCGCTTAAGAGGAATTATAACCACCTGTTTCTTTTGATAACTAATTTCAGCATGTCTCCGTTTCTTCAAGCTAAATTCGAAGTTTTTATTTTATTTTCTCAAGAGCCCCATTCGCCAATTTCCTTTCATTACTGCCCTTATTAATATAATTAAAAACGATTTTTTTTCAAATCTATATTGCCTCTGTCTTCTTCTTCGCCTACTTCTTTTTCTACGTCCATTCCTTCTTCTTCTTCTTCTTCTTCTTTTTCTTCTTCTTCTTACTCTTCTTCTTCTTATTTGTCTGCTTCTTTGCTTTCTTCTTCTACGTCTATTTCTCCTTCGTCTATTTCTTCTTCTTCTTACTCTTCTTCTTCTTCTTCTTACTCTTCTTCTTCTTCTTCTTCTTCTTATTTGTCTGCTTCTTTGTCTTCTTCTACGTCTATTTCTCTTTCGTCTAATTCTTCTTCTTTGTCGTCTACTTCTTCTACGTCTATTTCTCCTTCGTCTATTTCTTCTTCTTCTTCTTCTTCTTCTTCTTCTTATTTGTCTGCTTCTTTGTCTTCTTCTTCTACGTCTATTTCTCTTTCGTCTATTTCTCCTTCTTCTTACTCTTCTTCTTCTGCTTCTTCGTTTAATCCTTCTTCTTCTTATTCGTCTACTTCTTCTTGTTGGTCTACTTCTCTTTCGTCTAATTCTTCTTCTTCTTTTCGTTTCACTCTTCTTCGTTTAATCTTTCTTCTTCTTTTTCTTCTTCGTCGTCGTCTTCGTCTACTTCTTTTTTCTTCATCTAATTCTACGTCTATTTCTTCTTCTTCTTCTTCTTCTTCTTCTTCTTCTTCTTCGTTTAATCCTTCTTCTTCCTCATCTTCTTCGTTTAATCCTTCTTCTTCTTCTTCTTCATCCTTTTTCGTCTACTTCTTCATTTACTTCTTCTTCGTCTAATTCTTCTTCCTCTGAGACTATTTCTTTTTGTTGTACTTCTCCTTCTACGGCTATTTCTTTTCTTCTTCTTCTTCTTCTTCTTCTTCTTCTTCTTCTTCTTCACTTCAGTTTCTGTAGAGATTCATCTTTTTCCTCAACCATTCTTCAAAACAGACGCATTGTCTTTAAAGGTTACGCTCTATAAGAATTTTATTGACATCATCAAGACACCAGAGAAGCTATTAATAGTGTCTTATTAATTTTGATTCTGTACTGCTGCTGCTTTTGATGCTGGTGCTGCTGCTGCTGCCATTGCTGCTACTAATGATGATGATGATGATAATGATGATGATGAGGAGGATGCGGATGATGCCGACATTGATAGTAGCGCCATCTGGGAATGAAAGCAGACGAGGTAAAGTTAGCTCCCAGCGACTTCTTCATCTGCACGATTTGTTTGAGAACGTTGCGTTGTTCGTGTCCTTGACTAGACACGATTTCCTGCCGTTACGTTCTCTTCCATTGTCTCTGATCACGTGACGTGCAATTTCTCGTTGTATATCTTTCTGTTTCGTTTTCTCTCCATTTTTTTTTTTCATTTTTTTTATCCTCTTCTGGCTTTTCTTTCTATTTGCGCTTCGCTACAACATTGCATTAATTTTCTTTCAGTCTCGCTTGCCTTATGCACTCGTTTTTTGGGGGTTTTTTTTCTGATGTCTCTCTTCCGTGTCGCTTTATCTCTCTCCAAACTCAACCTGAAATCATAAAAATGCGTCTTATTTTAGCAAAATAGCTTTTCCTGTCATTTTGACGACATACATTTCTTCTTTTTCCAAAATTCGTAAATGTTTTTTCTTCATCTTTGCGTCTTTCCTAACCTTCCATCTTTATTTTTTTACTTCTTTTCGTTTTCTTTCTTTTTTATTCTTTTCTTTCTTATTCGTTCTTTCTTTTTTCTTTCTTTATATATTTCTTTCTTTCTTTCTTTCGTTTTTGTTTCTTTTTCTTTTTTCTTCCTCTCTTTCTTATTCGTTCTTTCTTTACTTTATATTTCTTTCTTTCATTCTTTCTTTCATTCTTTATCTCGTTCGTCTTTGTTTTCTTTCTATTTTCTTCCTCTCTTTCTTGTTCGTTTTTTTCTTTCTTTACTCTATATTTCTTTCTTTCGTTCTTTCTATCTTTATTTTCTTTCGTTTTTTCTTTCTTTTTTCTTCTTTTTCTATTTCTTATTCGTTCTTTCTTTTTTTTCTTTCTTTATATTTCTTTCTTTCGTTCGTTCCTTCTTTCTTTCGCTTTTGTTTTCTTTCTTTTTTCTTCCTTTATTTCTTATTCGTTCTTTCTTTTTTTTCTTTCTTTTATTATTCTTTGCTTTCTTTGTTTTTTTTTTAACTTTTCCTCGTTCTTTTCTTTCTTTCCTTGCTACTCTCATTCTTTTTCCTTCTTCATTTTACTTTCTTTCTTCTTTTCCTTCTTTTATTTTGTTTGTCTTACTCTATTTATTTCCTTTTTGTTTTCTTTCCTCCTTTCCTTTTTTTTTCTATTTCGTTTTACACCTTTTCTTTCTCTTTCTTTCTTCTTTAATACATATAGTGATTGCTCTTTCCAGAAAATATTTGTATCTACATCATTTTCTCTACTCATAATTATGTTAGTGTAGTACCCATCAAAAATGACAAGCGGGATTATTTACATATGGATCGGTTTTTCTACTGAGGAACAGAGTATCTCTGTATTCTGTCTGTTATCAAAATTTCACTCACTGTTTTGTAGCAGTAGTGTTATAGTGGATCTAGGATTCCTTTAATCTATCTAAGGCTCACCATTATCTATCTATCTATCTATCTATCTATCTATCTATCTATCTATCTATCTATCGAAATCTCTCCATTATCTATCTATCTATCTATCTATCTATCTATCTATCTATCTATCTATCTATCGAAAGGTCTCCATTATCTATCTATCTATCTATCTATCTATCTATCTATCTATCCATCTATTTAACAAAAGGTCTCCATTATCTATCCATCCATCTATCTATCTATCCATCTATCTATCGATCTATCTATCCATTTAACTAAAAGCCTCCATTATCCATCTATCTAACAAAAAAGCCTCCATTATCATATCTATCCATCTATCTATCAAAAGCTATCCATCTATCCATCCATCCATCTATCTATCCATCCAACAAAAGCTGTCCATTATCTATCTATCTATCTATCTATCTATCTATCTATCTATCTATCCATCTATCTATCTAACAAAAGCTGTCCATTATCTATCTATCTATCTATCTATCTATCTATCTATCTATCTAACAAAAGCTGTCCATTATCTATCTATCTATCTATCTATCTATCTATCTATCTATCTATCTAACAAAAAGCTGTCCATTATCTATCTATCTATCTATCTATCTATCTATCTATCTATCTATCTATCTATCGAAAGCTCTCCATTATCTATCTATCTATCTATCTATCTATCTATCTATCTATCTATCTATCTATCTATCGAAAGCTCTCTATTATCTATCTATCTATCATCTATCTATCTATCTATCTATCTATCGATCTCATCCATCTATCTAAAGCATCTATCTATCTATCTATCTATCTATCTATCTATCTATCTATCTATCTATCCAAAGCTCTCCATTATCTATCTATCTATCTATCTATCTATCTATCTATCTATCTATCTATCTATCTATCTATCTATCGAAAGCTCTCCATTATCTATCTACCTATCTATCTAACAAAAGCTGTCCATTATCTATCTATCTATCTATCTATCTATCTATCTATCTATCTATTGAAAACTCTTCATTGTCTATTTATCTCTCTAATTCAATTCATATCTATCTATCTATCTATCTATCTATCTATCTATCTATCTATCTATCTATCTATCTATCTATCTCAACCTCTTCATATCTATTTATCTATCTATTTCTTCATATCTATTTTATTTTTATTTTATTTTATTTTTTTGTCATTTATTTTTCCCTTCATTGGAAATTTATCTCCATGTTTCTTTGTTGAAATGATTTTTCTAAAAAAATTTGCTTAATTTCGAACTATTTTTGCGGGTCACCTCTACCTATTTTATTCAAAACCGCCAATTATAAACTCAAGGGCCTATTTTTTCTTTCTTTTTCATGGAAAAAACTCTATGCCCTCATATCATTATTTTTTTTTTTTCATATCCTAGTCTGACTCTCTAAAAAAAATCTCAAGTGGCATTCAATTTCATTTTCTTGGAAAAATTAAATCATTTCTAATCTCTACATCCATTTATTTTTACGAAATTCTTAACTCATTGATAAAAAAAATCACCTCCTCCGTCAGTCTCTCTGTGGCTCTCATGCCCACCCTCTACCTCTTCCCTCTCTGTTTCTCCATTCCTTCTCTCTTTGTCTCCCTCACCTCTCAATATACCTCCCTCTTTATATATCCCCCTCTCACTATCTCCCCCTATCTCTCTCCCCTTTCTCTCTCATCCTTCCTCTCCTTCTCCGTCCCTATTTCTTTCCTTTTCTCCTCCTCACACCCCTCTCTCTCTCCCTGTCTTTCTCTCGTTCTCTCTTTCCTCTCTCCCAACCTCCATTTATTTTTAAGAAATTCTTAACTCATTGATAAAAAAAATCTCCTCCTCCGTTAATATCTGTGTCTCTCATGCCCACCTTCTACCTCCACCCTCTATCTTTCCCCTCCCTCTCTCTTTGTCTCGCCACCTCTCACTACGCCTTTCTCTTTGTCTCCCCCTCTCAATATATCCCCTATCTCTCACACTCCCTCTCCCCTTTCTCACTCATCCTCCCTCTCTCTTTCTTTCTTTCTCCGTCTCTCTCTCTCTCTCTCTCTCTCTCTCTCACCTCTCCCCATTTTCTCTCTATTTTGTGTTGCTGTTGTTTATGGCGTAGTATTGATTTTGTTTCTCTAGTAATTCCAAATCTCTTCCGTATTGAAAACCATCGAAAAAAAACTACATTCTTCAAACTAAAAATTTATAGCTGAGAAACCGCAAAATCTTTCTTTTTTTATTCGTTTTTTTATGGCTTATCAACCTTTTTCATGTCATTTAAAACCAGAAAATATTTTTAGATTGTAAGAAAAAAGTTTTTTAGAGCTAATGATGAATCGCTGATATAATTAACCCTGGTAGGGAGATAAGGTGGATTCATGCCTTTCTAAAGGGTATTTGCGCGTAAGTAAATAAAGAAATCGACTGAAATTTGAACTCGGTTTTCCGATTTCAAGCCGTTATCCTTTACACCAGCCGCACATAAAAGCTTACATCACTTGGTATTCCAAACGGTCACCCATCTGAGTAAGGACCAGACTGAGACGTTCCTTAACCTGTTTGAACATGATATGGCTGTAGGCCTATTATGTCATGCGTGTATACATGCTTACAGCACCGAGTATTCCTAAGCAGTCACCCATCTAGTTAGACCAGACTAATTGCTGCTTAATTTTGATGATCGTATGAGAATCGGTGTTTCAACAGGTTATAACTGTAAGCCAAAATGTTTCTCTCAGTTTTTGTTTTTTTTAGGTACAAAATAAAGCAAATACGTTAAACTAATTTCAATTAAAACATTAACGATTATGAACAACTAAATAAAGATTTGCTTTAATTATTTCATGACAATTTCTAATGAAATTTCTTAATAAATACTTTCTTAAAATAGGAAATGGCATTATTATACGTAAAAGCCGATAAACAACAAGCTTAGTTTGCATTATTTACATTATTCGGACTTTCCACCTTTAGAAAGAAAATGGAACACTTGACAGAAAATAAGTAATTTTTTCTTGTGCTGCGATTTCAAGATAGTGCTAGAACCGGAGAAAGCTATATAGGTTAGTCGATGATCTTATCTGCCTATATCTCTGAGATGAGGTATTATAATTACTTATACAGTATTTACATTAGTCGGACTATTGTCCTCATCTTTGTCGCCATATTTGTCACAACGTTTCGGCCGTTGTACGCTCCGGCCTTATTCAGGTGGTTGGAATTTCGAACTGAACCCTTTATTTCGATCACCGGGGTAGACTGTTCCATGTTTGATGGATGTCAGTTATCTGAAAGTTCTCCACTGCCTTAACCAGGAATAGAACTCACCTTCTTTGGGTATGTCACTAGATCTAACCAACGCCTTTATCCACTGTGCCATGTGTCCTTGAGGACATCTGGGTATGAACTTCTGAGTATTATAAACCTAATGTTTTCCGCATCATTTTTACCAGTGCTCATATTGCAATTTTTGCTGTTATCATTGCATGTCTTTACCAGAGTTCATATTGCAACTTTGTTATCATTGCTTTTCTCTGGCACTCCTTATTACTGGTTCCCATATTGTATTTATTTCTATGCTTGGTCGGCTCAGGAGATTTTTGTGGCCTAGCATATTTGCTGATTCCTTAAGTTTACGAATTTTCCAATGGTGTTCCCTGTCTATGATCTCAACATGATCCCACAGGGGCGGTGATCTCCTTCTCTCTCCATATGTGGTCAGCCACGCCTGATTTTTCTACTTCCCCTCGCATTACAGCTTTCTGGTGTTCTTGAAGCCTTACCTTGAGGGGGCGGCCTGTCTCTCCTTTATATTCCTTTCCGCAGCTGCATGGGATAGCGTACACACAGTCTTTAGTCATGTTCCTCTCTATGGGGGGTCTCACTCGTGAGAGATACCTGCGAAGTGTTGTCACGCTTTTGAAGGTTGTCCTGATGTTATATGGACCGCAGATCCTTTGTATTTTCTCTGATAACCCCTTCACATAAGGCAGGCAGACTGTTTTCTGAGTGTTGTTGTCCTCCTCCTCCTCTTGTACCCGCCTATCCCAGTTTTTGGGGCTGCTGCCATGTACCCAGGGTAGTTGTTACGTTGTAGGGTACTACTTATACTGACCAATTCCTTATCTAACGTCTCTGGATCGCCACTTATGACTTTTGCTCGGTGTTGTAAGCATCGGACGATCCCTTTCTTTACGCTGTATGGATGGTGGGAGTTGAAATTGAGGTACTGTCCGGTGAATGTTGGTTTACGGTATACGGATGTCTTGAACCCATTCTCTGTTCGAGATATTAGTACATCCAGGAATGGGAGTGAGTTGTTACTCTCTTTCTCCATTGTGAACTGTATCGAAGGTCTTATTGAGTTCACATGGTCCAGGAGAACCTGGACATCTTCCTGATGTGGCCAGAGTATGAAAGTGTCATCTACGTACCGTAACCATATAGTTGGCTTTAGCGATATAGACTCTAATGCCATTTCTTCGAAGTATTCCATGTATATATTCGCCATTGCTGGTGATAATGGCGAGCCCATTGCTAAGCCCTCATCCTGTCGATATATGTGAGATCCCATTCCGAAGTGTGTTGTTTGTGTACAGAAAGTCAACATCTCCATCAGATTATCTATTGGAATACTGGTCCGCTCCTCTAGGGAAGAGTCAGAGGTTAATCTATCTCTGACCACTGAGAGTGCCTCCTCCGTGGGTACCTTGGTGAACAGACTCACCACGTCCAAGCTCACCATCTGGTTGGATAGGATGGGAGCATCTTTGATTATTTCCACGAAGTGGGCGGAGTTTCGGACATATGAAGGAGACTTTCCGATCAATGGGTCAATTATATCTACAAGGAAGCGACTCAGAGGGTGGCACACAGAGCCTTGGCAGCTAACAATCGGCCTGAGTGGAATACCGTCCTTGTGAATCTTAGGGAGACCGTATATGTGAGGTAACTTGCTGTAACGCTGTGATAACTGCCTATACGTCTTGGGTGCGAAGTGATCCTTGTTCTTGATTAGGATCTGTGACAGTTTGCGTTCCGTTTTCATAGTGGGATCTTTCTTCACTATGCTGTAGCTACCATTGCTAATGAGGTCTTCCAGTTTTCTTGTATAGTTGTATGATTACTTATATTATTTGGACTATTTTACTCATCTTCATTGCCATATTCACAACGTTTCGATCGTTATACACTCCGGCTTTATTCAGGTGATTGAAATTTCGAACCGAACCCTTTATTTGTTTAGATCGTTCTAGTTCCACGTATCATGCCTCAGTTATTCCCCTTTAACTTAATTCACCACAACGTGGCCTGGTGTTGAATTCAGAACTCTTTGGGTCTAGTCACTGAATCTAACCAACATTTTTTATCCACTGGGCCTTGAGGACATCTGTGTATGAATCTTTGTAACTTATAGACATAATGTCTTCAGCAACCATTTTTACCAGAGCTCATATTGCAATTTTTGTTATTATTCATTGCTTTTCTCTAGCACTCATTATTACTGGTTCCCATATTGTATTCATTTCTATGCTTGGTCGGCTCAGGAAATTTTTGTGGCCTCGCATACACACATGTCCACATGTTTTTTTTTTGAGTTTGTGGACATTTCGAGGTCTACCTCGTGTATATCTGCAAATGTAAATTCAAGTCCGATAATATCCGATGATATCCGATGATATCCAATGATATGCTTAAAAACAAAATGCGTAACATGAAAACTTTTTTCTACTTTGTTATACTAATTTTCAATAAAAGTGTTTTTGATATTTATATAAAAGGATTATATAACGATTTATCCATATATAAATATATATATATATATATATATGTGTGTGTGTGTGTGTGTGTGTGTGTGTGTTCGTGAATATGAAAGTGTTGGGGCATTGTTGGGGCCAGAAATAAAAACACAGAGAGAGGAATTGAGTTAAACAAATTTATTAACAGAAACAGACTGTCAGAGCTGACTGCTGGAAACTTTCCTCTCCAAAAGGCAGTACCTGCTCCTATTTATAGCTGTGAGAGTCCATGCGTGCGTATGTAAATTACCATCACACTATCTATCTATCTATCTATCTATCTATCTGTTGTGACCTTGTTAGGACCAGAATTAAAGACACAAAGAAAGGAATTGAGTTAAACAAATATATTAACAGAAACAGTAACACAAACATTTACAAACGAGAGTGTTACAGCAAGAATGTTCGGTCCGACTATCAGAGTTGACTGATGAAAACTTCCTTCTCCAAAAGACTGCGTGCGTGAGTAAATTACCATAACACCCCCATTCCTAAGTATTAACTACGCAAGAGTCTTAACGACTATTAAGTCCGTCATTTTCCTTTTCCTCTTTAAACGGCATTGCTCCGGGTCCACTTGAGGTATTCGCATGTCAAAAGTATCGTAAATGACATCCATGACTTCTTTTTCTTCAGCAGGACTGCTGTCAGCATCGTCCGACAGGCGTTTCCTGATTTGGTTCAAATATCTCTTGTGAGTAAACTGGGGACCTTTAATTATGTAAATGATATTTCCTACTTTTTTCTCAATTGTACCCATTTTCCAGAAAAATTTATTATCACGAAAAATCCGGAAAAAAATTTCTCTCCGTGTTGGCAGTGTTTGTTAATCCGGGGTCTGTTTGTTTTTTGTGGGGAGTAGCTTGTCGAACACGGTCCTGATTTTACGCATAAACATTACCTCGGCGGTGGGTAATGATAATGGTTGTGTTGTCATTGGGTGTAATTCTATACACCTGAAGGAACTGTTATAGGGCATTTTCTGTGGGCGTGTCCCCAGCTTTCTTCAGGGCTCTTTTCAGCTTGTCAACGAAGCGCTCAGCCTGTCCGTTGGACCTTGGATGATATGGGGAGATCATGATATCATTGATCTGGAAGGTCTCACAAAAATCGTTAAAGTCGCCGGATGTAAATCGTGTCCCATTGTCGGACACTAGACAATCGACTACCCCAAATCTGTCGAACAGTTCGTGGAGGAATTTGATTGTAACTTTTATAGTGGGTTTACTACATCTAAGGAGTTCAGGCCGCTTCGAAAAACTATCTATTACTATGAGATACTAGAATACGTCTAGCGGGCCTTCAAAGTCCACATATATTCGGGACCATGGTCGGTCCGTTTTAGACCAAGGACTATATATGATTGGGGGTACCTTAGCTGCCAAGGCAAGGCTTTACAGGTATTTACGATGTTTCCTTGTCCATGTTCGGCCAGTACACATAACTGCGCATACGTAATCCTTGGGTAGCCGGAATAGAAATCTTTCAGAATTTTTCTTTTTAGCGTTGTGGGAATGACGACACGCTCACTATATAGCAGTACTTCGTTGCATAGGAAGAAAATATCTGAAGTCTGTTGGTCCTTTGTTACGAATTTGGTCTTGGTTTGCCTGACAAACTCATCGTTCCCTTACTTGCATAATGTGGTTTTAATTTCTTCTTCTGTTCGAAGAGAAGCAATCACAGTATCTTCAAGAGGTACTCTGTGTTTCGGGATTAATCTGGATAGTCCATCGGCATGGCAGATTTTTTAGAGGGCAGGAACTCCATCTTGAAATTATAATTTAAGAGGATTGTTCCCCATCTCCGTGGTCTATTTGCTGTATGTACAGGTAGACCTTTTTTTAGACCTTTTATCATATAACATGTCATATTTGTCTACAACCAGGATACATTAGTTGCTTACTTGGTTTTCCTAATTATCAATGATGATCTGTCTAAGTTCCGGTTAACATGTCATGAAAAAATAAACCACCACTTCCACCTTCTGAGGTTAATTTTCTATTTAGCATAAATCAGAATTTTAATTCGTTAATCAAGACAAACCCACATTTTTAATTTAGACCTTGTGTTTTCCCGCCACCACCCTTTATTTTTCGGAAATGAGGTAGGACTTTTTCTTAAAAACCATTCAATCACCATTTACTTACTATCGCCTGAAGAAGTACAACAAAGTGCCGAAACACGAAAGCAATTGTGCAGCAATTTCAATATTTTAATAAGAACAACAGACTAAGACTAAAATTCGCTCAGGGTTACCGGAATTGGGCAATAGAGGATTGGAAAATTTTGCCTGCTCTCCTGAGTTATAATTTCTGATGTCTCATGTAGATAGTAGGGCAAAGATTTGGCGTAAATCTTTATGTATACAAGTACAAATTTAACGGCGAAACAAAAGTGATGAAAAACTTATTGCCGTTGAAATGGACCAGACGACATACGTTGAACGGATGTCATCATTCTTTGATTAACCTTTTTTCGAAAGTAACTCATCTTTTGATACAATAGTTGTCAGTGAAAATGAAAGTAAAACAATAAGGAAGTTCCCGACAATTTCGGGAGGAACAATATGAGTTACTGAATTTGAGAAATCTTTTTGCCTGAAAAAGTTGTTTAAATAAAAAGATTTTATAAATTTCAACCGAAAGTGGCTACTCAATCAATGAAGACCAATTCTTATAAATACAAAGAAACGTTAAATATTGAATATTTATATATATATATATGTGTGTGTGTGTGTGTGTTCGGTTGTTTAGTCGCACTGAGGAGCTGTGATAGAGCGAAACAGTCCTGTCTGCGAATGACATAATTTAGCTCTTGAAAATATATTGAAAACTGTTGAACGACAAGCTAATTCTAAAAACAACGGTCACATGCGTAAATGCGAAGCTCTTCAGTTAAACGAAAGGAGCACTTTGGCTGCTTGGCGTTTGTTTACGTTTGTAGAAGCAATATGCTAGATTTGGCTGGTTCGTCCTGTCGAGTGAAGATGGCAGAGTGGTAGAAGCTCTGACTGACACCAAATTTACGGTCCGGGCTTGAGGCGTTTGGTTACCTAGTCGCACTGAGGAGCTGTGAAACAGTACTGTCTGCATATGACACACACACACACATATATATATATATATATATATATATATATATATATATGTATAAAACTATGTATAACCGCTTAACGATCACGTTTGATCGAAACTTGTAATGATTTGAACTGAGTCTCTTTTATTACATTTTCTTTCGACATTGAGACCTGTCTATGACAGGTGTCTGTCCTTTCATCTTTCTCCTGTCCCTATGTTTTCTTTTCGTTTTCTGGTTTTACTTTTTATTTTCTGTTGCTTCCTTTCTTTATTGGTTCTCGGCTTTTCTTTCTACTTTCTTTTGTTACTTGAAGTACAATCGTTTGTCAAGGTTTGTCTTGATAGGCTCGCAAATTCAGAGTTTTTTGAAAACTCTGATTTGCTGCATGCACGCACACACACACACACACACACACACACACACACATATATATATATATATATATATATATATATATATATATATATATATATATAGATAGATAGATAGATAGACAAACAAAAATTCAGAATCAAACTCTGGATTTAATAATTTATATTATTATATAATAAGTTTTATACCTTTTTAGGTTTTATTTAAGCTGCTGAAACTATTTAACAATTAGTTCACGCCGCCCAGTCTTTTAAAGGAGGGTACCTAAAATTTAAAATCCGTCAGCCAGAATATCACCATTAAACAACAAAATGGATTAAGCAAAACGGGCTCAAATTAAGGAAATTTAATGCAGTTATGTGTTAATTTCATTATTATTATTATTATTATTATTATTATTATTATTTTCTTTGATTTCTGGTGTTTACACATTTCTTTCCGGGTCCCGCCCAGGGACCTAAGGTTAGAAATGGCGTCATGAAACTTTCCACTGACAAACAAAAAAAAAAAATTAAATTACATCAATAAAGCCCTTCGTGAGGTGTGGGCTGTACTTGTCAGAACAATTTTTTGTATCTCCTTGAGGCATGGACTTCCAGGAATCCCTTCAATTAGTCTACTGCAATCTTTTCCAACCAGTCCTAGGGCTCCAACTACAACAGGGATTTTTGATGTTCCCATATGCTACATTTTCGAGATTTCTATTTCAAGGTCCTTGTATTTTGACAACTTTTTGAATATCTTCAAAGATACATTGCAGTCAGCAGGGACTGTCATGTCAATAAGGAGGCACCGTCTTTGTTTGTGGTCTTTAATAACAATATCTGGGCGGTTGTCTTTGATTGTTCTGTCAGTGTGTATTGTGTAGTCCCATAGAATTGTAACAGGTCCTATCTCCGTAACCGGGTCTGGGTGGTGTTCATACCAGTTTCTTTCAGTTTCCTTCCCGTAGAAGTTGCAGATTTTCCAGTGCAGATATTGGCTCATGTCGGGTTTTATATTCAGTGGGTGCCAACACCGTGCAACCTGATACAAGATGATCAATCTTTTCTGGATATTTATCACAGAATCTGCATTTTGGGCTGACACCATATTTTATTATATGTGCTTGATAATTCCTAGTTAGCAAGCATTGGTCCTGCGCAGCAAGGATAAAACCTTCAGTTTCCGCTTTCAACCCTGCACTACGTAGCCACTGATGGGTACGGGTTTTGTCTACGTCAGCTTGTTTGGTACGGGCAGAGTATTGGCCATGAAGCGGTTTATCTTGCCATCGCTTCTGTATCTGGTCGGTTGCCTTCGTCTTTGCTGTCTTTTTTAGGTATTTTGCAGTTTCAGCCGGTGTATTGTTTTGTCGTTGCATCTGTACATTATTATTATTATTATTATTATTATTATTATTATAATAATAATAATAATAATAATAATAATAATGAATATATTGTTAAACCATTCAGAATCAAATTCTCTTTGATTCGCAGTGAGCTAGTGAATTAGTTTTCAGAATGACATGCAACTATCAGTTTGCATGCGATTTTTCGAGACTCAGATTGTTCCACTCTGACCCACTTGTCTCCAGTATGTCTTGGGAGTGTCAGATTTTCCAAGCACTCTTTACTCATAATGTGTGAAAAACATTCATTCTCTTTCTGATCTCAAGGAAAAGCGTATTTCGTTTCCATTTGCCTTCCAAACTTTCTCGTTGTTCCTATGTTCCGTCCATTCTGTTCTCAGCATCCTTCTGTGGAACCACGTCTGTTCTATGTCAAGTTTCCACTTCATCACAGAGGAAATTGCCCAAAATTCACAGCCGTATAAGAGGCTTGATATTACATGATAGT